AATTGTCAATATCTGCAAGCACTTTTTCTAAACATACTGTAAAGATGTCTGATAACCAAAATATATATATATATATATATTCGCAGAATATCATGAAGTTATAGTGTTATGATAAAGGATGAGGAGACTTCACTTTATGGGGAGGGAAAGTCATGTTCTTTAATAGATTATATGGTAAAGTAATCTAGTTTGGAAAATGAAGATCTATATGTCTAAAAGTTGAAGAAATAACTGTGTGAAAAAAGGACAGGGTTGAAAATAATAAAATGTAGCCAATTCTGGGAGCACATATTACCCCGCCTTATCTCCATAGAAGTTTCTCTTCTGCTGATATTTTTTTAAAGTTAATGTACGTATGTACGTACCTACTATATCCATATGCTTAAAATTTATAAATTTGTCACATTTAGCGTATTGCGTGTTATATTATTTTTACATATATACACTTCTTCACGGGTCTGCAACATAGGTTTGAAAAAAAAAAATTGAACAAAACAAGAGGCAGCCAGGAAATCCGAACTAGATTAGTTGATTGCTCATATACTTGGTAATATGATTTGGAAAAAGTGTTGGATACACGATAATAGTGTGTGTGTGTGTGTGTGTGTGTGTATAAAGAACAAAACAACAGGTAAAGATGTTAAAAAAATATTATCTAACTAGTACTTACAATTACAAAGCCAAAAATAGCAAGAAAACTTGAACATGTAATGTCCAAAAATGGTTATAAATCTTCAAGTGATTAAAACAAACTAGGCAAATATAATTCTTAGATATTCATAAAAATGTCAAAAGATGGGTTGTTATGGTTCTTGACTTGTGGGTCTCCCCACTGTAAGAATACAACTTTACATCCACATGTTAAGCAACTTGACATACAATTCAATAATGTGGGATTTTTACTGGAACACAGCCCTTCACTTTTGGAAAAGTCACACTTCACTAAAAGAAAAGGAATCAAGGAAGGAGACAAGAACCTAGTCATATTTTTCTTCATATATGATTAATTAAAGCATGCATATGATGCATTACTTTAGATAAAGAGAAAGAAGTGACTCAATCAATTGATGACCACATCTTGAGCACATCGAATAAAGACGGCAAGAATAACATATTAACAAATATATATAATAACATAAATGAGTCCATGCATTAATAATCAGCTTTAAAATAGGACGTTAGTGCATTCACGCGCGGAAAGTTTCTTTGTTTTTCTGTGTCTTATCACTAGGGCAATGAAATGCCTAATGGAGACTGGTGTCTTGTAATTATTATGCGCTTATGCATGACCATCACAATATATTGATATACTCCCTTGGTCTTTTGTTTTATAATCAATAACCATCATTCCTTTTGTTTCAAAATATAAACAAAATTTATAAATTATCTCAAATTTTTGTAGCAAATTTCATATTTTTCATCTATTAAAGACTTATTTTAATAGTTAATATATTTATTTTTTCCCAAAACATCATTTTTCAGATAATAAATGTTCTGAAAATTATATCTTAACATAATCTCTCTTCATCGTACATTCCTTTTTTTTATTTTTATTTTTGAAAAAATTAATTATTTAGTTCCTGAATTTTTAACTCGATCGCGACTCAATCCCTACACTTCAACTCGTTGCAACTCAGTCCTCCAAGTTTCATCCGTTTAATGAATCCATCCCTGTCGTCACTGAAGCAAGAAGAAGCTAGCCCATGGCTCTCAAACGGTGCTAAGAGAGTTAAACGTTGCATCCATTGCATCCTTGTCAGCACCACTTGGAGCTACACGTCAAAATGGTTAAGGGAAATTTTTTTTTTAAAAGAAAAGAATGGACCGAGCTAACTCTGTCCCTCTTTCTTCTCGATCTTAGGCATAGTTTGCAACCTGCAGACTTCACTTGCCATGTCAAGTCTTCAACCCAAGCTCATCGTTCTCGATCTACATATTTAATATAACGTGGCTTTTGTTTTGGGTTGTGAGTTGGACATTTAAAGGAGGGGGGAGGATATCACTGTTGAGTGCTTTGTTTTATTGGTTTGAAAACAGAGCATGGTGAAAATAAGCCTCCAATTGTTATTCTCTGCAAATCTTAAGCTCCTCATGCTTTTACTCTACTCTTTCCTTTATACATTTCTCATGCATAAAAATGCAGAATTTTAGTATAAACCCAGTTGAAGTATTGGTACTTGGGTTAGGAGCCCATTTATTATTGTCTTCACTTTTTATGTCTTCTTTCACATTTGAAGCCAAAAAGACTCCATTTATTATTTGATCATTACAAACAATGGGACACTCCTATTATAGAGCTAAACATATCCCGCAAGTGATGAACAATAATGATCCCTCATGCCAAACTCGTTAACATGTAACTTAACGGCTACGGCCCTGGCTAGAATAAGTACTCCGGATTTGCATTGGGTGCTCATCAGGTGATGAGCACCCAATGCTCATCACCCATCTGGACCGTCCAGATCTGATCTGGATGGTCCAGATTTGTTTTTATTTTTATTTTTATTTTTTAAAAAATAATTATTTTAATAGGTATAAGATAAAAAATAAAAATAATATCATAACTATCATTTTTTAAAAATATAATTTTTTTTATTTTAAAATAATTATTTAATGATATTAAATCTGGACCGTCCAAATTAAATCTGGACGGTCCAGATTGCTCATCAGGTGATGAGCATTGGGTGCTCATCACCTGATGAGCACCAAATGGGAACCCGAAGATAAAGAAGAGTTTTATGCCAGCCAAAATAAGTAAAAGAAATTTTGAAGGAGCAGGCAACAAGGTCGGGCTAAGTCGGTTTAATAAATGTATTAAATTTGCAGATCAAGAACGATGAGTGTGGGTTGAAGATCAGAGATGGCAAGCAAATTATGAAACCAAACGATGTCTGAGAACACGAGGAAGAGGGAGAGTTAGCGACTCTGTTTTTTCTTAAAAAATATTCTTCACTCGTTCTGATGCATGATCCTAAGTGGTGCTGACAAGGATGTCACGAAGGCAACGCTTAACTCTCTTAACACAGTTCGAGACACGTGGGCTGGCTTCTCTTTGCTCTACCAATGGTAGGTTTGGATTTATTAACGGATGAGACTAACGACCGAGTTGTAACGAGTTAAAATTTAAGGGCTCAGTTGCGATTGAGTTAAAAGTTCAAGAATCACATAATTAATTTTCTCATTTTTTTTATTATAATAATTTTTTTATTCTCTTTGTTATGCTTATTCTCAATAAATAAGGGTATTTTAAAAAAAAATTAATTTTTACTCATTTATTGTCTTTAATCAATTTTAGTTGGTCATATAAAGGGGACGGAGCGAGTATATTGCTGGCCAATTTCAATTTTTCACTTCGTCTTCGCAAAGTAAATATATAAAAGAAATGGAAAAATTGCATAAAACCTGACAATTAGGACTCGTATAATGTGTGTGAGTAATGAATCTTTATGAATTTTATTTTCTATTGAATTTTACTTTCATTATTTTTATTTTACTTTTATTTTTATATTCTTTCGGAAGGAACATGCCCACCGACGAAACTTCCAATCTTTTAGAAAAGCAATCTCTCTGTGAAAGCAAGCGAGATCAGTCACCATGACTATCACATCACCCCAAGCATGCTTTTTTCCCCAAAAAAAGGAGAAAAAAGAAATCATTTTGAAAGATTTCTCTACCCAGAAAACTTTTTTTTTTTTGGCAAGGGAATCCATTGACAGAATGCTTGGCACATGTATTGCAATAAATATACTATTTTGTTTTTTTAATTTATTATAAGATAAATAGTTTTTTAAAAGTATATATAATAAATAGGAGTAAAGTTGAAAAGTAATTATATTTTCACAAAGGGTTATGTTGTTGAATATTTTTCTTGATATATGTAAAACATGTTAAAAGTGTTTTATAAATAGAATCAGTATAATCTAATATGGGGCACATGTCACACATGGAAAATAGTGCTTTCCTTCATGATTTGATAAACCTCTTTTCTGGCCAAAAAGATAAACCTCTTTTTTCTGGCAAAAAAAAAAAGATAAACCTCTTTTCAGTCTTTTATTTCTCTTGTATATCAAAGAAATAATTGAAAAAGTATATGCTCATATTTCCTTTCATACCCTGTAAAATGTATAATTCATTTCATCCATCCCATCCCTTTAATTTCATTGTTTCTTTTGTGAGCAAAACAACATATATATTATTTAATCAAAGCTAGATTATATATATGTATATGATACTCGAAAAAGTTACAGTGGAAAACCTATAAATACCTCTCGTCATTAGTTCAATTGATTTGATGCAAAACTTGATATGAATGATAAGAAGCTGTGAATCCAAAAACACCGTTAGAGAAAGCAACATAGGGAATCTTCCAACTGGTGATTTGGGCACAGTGATGGCAACTGGAATATAGCCATCACCCATGAGGAACTTTTAGAGAGTGAGCAGAGAAGAGATTAGGGTTTCGTTCTACATTCAGTATAGTGTATGTTATTTTTTACCATCAGAAAATTAATTTTAATTAACTGAGTCAATTATCCATCTTGGAATGGATCCAAAATGACTACGAGTCACACTTAGGATATCTATTAATTATCCTAATAATATCTAAATAGTTATAATAATAATGAATATCTCATCTTTTTCTTTGTCATTTATAATAATTTTCATTATCCTCCATCCCACCGACACACCAGCAGTCCCATATACGTGGAGCTTCGAGAAACGAGCTTTGTTATTTACAATTTACAACATGTGAATGGTATGACATATTATATGCAAATATTATACTCTAATATTAATCAATGACTAAGTTTTAGATTATATATCAACGGTGTATTAATGCACATTATTTTAAGTTTGGTAAGATTTATTGCAGAAATATTATAATCATTGTAATTACGCGCATCCATTTTACTGGAAAGGCAACAATTTTTTTGAAGACCGAGCTCAAGGAGCTAGCAAAATTATAAATTATGAGCAGAAAATAAAAAAATCAGAAGTTGAGAAATTTGCGAGTAACTCTCGAGTAGACCCCTCGTTTTATTTTGTAATAAGACAAAGATGAGTACATCCACACACATCTGAGCACACAACAATTAACATTCCTGCCTTTCTCAAACTATTACACAAACAGGATGGATTATTGGTAACATTGAAATCTACATAGCCATTTTCGCATGTCGAGGGATTACTATAGGACTTCTCACTTTGTGCTTGCCATCTGTCCAAGTCAACTCTCCAAATGAATGCTCTGAAGTTTTGGCTGAACTTGTTGCCTGTAAAATAACCATATAGTTCTTTTTCTGGTTTGTCCTCTGAAAGATTAAAGTTGTGGGAAGAACAACAATCTTAAATCCTCTTGGGGGTTCGACATTTACAGTATATGTGCTTGGAGGCCCAACATTTGTTACTACACGACTAACATTTACAGCTTTCACACCCAGAAAAGGCAATGTGATGGAAGGGTAATTGAAATCTTGTAGGCTATATGACCTTGGACATCTGTATGGCCTATTGTAATTAATGGCTTTAATTATTCTGTCCTCATAAGCAGAAAAGCATAATAAGTTGAGGTAATCAGAAGTTTTGAGATCATAAACAAGTCCAGGGTCGATTGCGAGGTTGGGTTTGACATATCCTGTGCCATAATGAAATGGAGTTGCTATCCGAAAATCTTGTTCGTCCTTGATCGGTCTATTGGTGTTATCCAGTGTGCTTGCTATAATGAACAACATAGTTTTTGATACCCGTTAGAAATCAAATTGTGAACATGAAGCCAGATTATTAATGTATGTCATATACCTGTGGTCATGATTGCTGACTTGATCATTGCAGGACTCCAATTAGGATGGCGATTTTTAATAAGACCAGCAATTCCAGAAACATGAGGACATGCCATGGAAGTTCCGGTTTGGACATTATAGTTAAAGTGACGGTCATCTGAATCTAGGTTGGTGGGACTTGCAGCAAATGAATAAGCAGCAATTATGTCTTGACCTGGTGCTGTTACATCAGGCTGTTAAAAGAAAATAAAAGAAAAGAAAAGGTAAGAATTACAATATACTTGATGACTAGGGGAGTTATCAGACGGTGTGATGAGAATGGATAACCTTGAGGATTGAGGGAAGAATCATGTTGGGCCCCCTTGATGAGAATGCAGAAACCATTGGAGCTGGCGTTATCGGTATAAATGTTTTAGCATTATTCATGAATGCCAGTGGGTTCCTGCAACATATGCAATATATAGAAGTGAAGCCCTGTGACTGAAAATAATTTCCAAAGCAATTCCAAATGGATTATTGGCGAATGAGAAAGATGTAGATATAATAATTACTTGTTTTTGGAGAAATACGATTGGCTGACTGGTCCGTGCATACCAACACTTTGTGGAACATTGGAAGTATCAATAGACTGAACATCAGCAGTACGTGTGTTCAACTCGTTATCATTTTGTAAAATCATTTGCAATGCATTCACACGCTTTGCTTCTGCGCCCTTTTCCACAGGCCTTAGGCTCCTTCCTCTTTGGCATAGCAATATACGGCCTCTTACTTTGTTAGGATCAAGTGTTCCTGGTTTACAAAGCTGACTGCAACAAGATGAAAAAGAACCGAAAATGTACTTAAGTTCAAGGGCAAGAGAAACACTACACATATAGGGAGAGAGCATCACGAATAGTGAAATTCATTAATTCTTCTTACGCATCTTGAAATGATACATTAGGAAGCCTGGCATTCCCAGCGATGACCACGCGACTTAACGTCCGAGAAGTGGCGTTTATGGCAAGACTTGTCCCCCTAACACGTTGGCCATTGCCAAGAGTAATATTATTGCTGAATTCTCTGTCTATGGAGCCAGAAGCAACAGTGAAGATCCAAGGCGCCACATTGCACACTGTTTGTGGTTTGGGTCCATAATTACCGGCGGCGGCAACAACCATGATTCCCCTGGAAACAGCATGGAAGGATCCTAAGGAGATGCCGTTGGTCAACATGTCATTCACATTTGGCACAGCCATCCCAGCAATGGAAACGGAGAGGATATCAACGCCGTCGTCGATGGCTCGATCGAAAGCTTTGATCATATCTTCATCGGTGCAGTGTTCAGAACTACCTTGACCCCAGCAAACCTTGTACACTGCCAGACGAGCTCTTGGAGATCCTCCCTTGGCTGTTCCATTCCCGTTGTTCAGAACACTAATGTTTCGTACGAAGTTGCCACCTGCTGTGGACAGAGTGTGGGTCCCATGCCCCACCATGTCACGAGCGCTGATTCCACTTCTAGGGCCAAGGCTTCCTTGCTTTCTCTCGTAGCCTTGATAGAATGCTTTTGCTCCAATCAGCTTCCTATTCCCACGCACATAGATATATCAAATCATCCTTCATCTTAACTTTCCAGTTTGTTGATCAGTTAATTATGAAAACTCAACGTTTGATCGAACCTGTTGCAAAGAGTTCTGTTACGTGGACCAGACAAACTATAGAGCTCGCATCTTGATCCTCCCCGCCACTTCCTTGGAACGGGACCGTACCCATCATCTCGGAAGCTTTTCGATTCTGGCCAAACACCTATATATCCAATAAAGCAACTCAACGATCAAAATCATTAATCTTGTTGCAAATGTTTACAGATTTATAGAAACTTAGATAGTGTATTTCATTTCATCTGCAAATAGCTTACCGCTATCAAGACTGCCAATAATCACATTTTGACCAAATCTTCCTTTGACCCAAGCTGAGTCAGCTCTGATTCTCCCATTTCTTTCTTGTCCGAGAAAACCCCATGACCTGGTTGTTTGCAGTTTGTGCGATTGGCCCACGAACACCGACACTACTTTTGGATTTTCTGCGTCCATTTTCCAACCATTTTATATCAATCATCACTATCAATATTTAATCTACGATATAAAATATAGAATTTAGATAAAGTTGATACACACACAGATATATACACATATATATATATAAAGGGTACGGGTCTCTCACTCTTGATCTCTGCCGCCTCATCTTCTTCAACTAATGCAGCAAAGCCATTGATGTGTCGGTTATATGAATAAATGATGGCTTCTTCGGCCTTTTCATGGCTGTCAAATCAAATATGTAACTATTAAAAAAAAGGGGGGGGGGTACTGTAAACATAGGATTCTTTAAAGATGGAGAAAAGTTCGCTAAACAACCATTCAAAGTAATTGAGCATTAGAGGTTGATATAAAAAAATATAAGAGAATAAGGATCCAAAAAGATAGCCCCGTTAACTTGTAAAAAAGGGAGAGAATGAATAATAAAACAAGTTTTATACTACGCATTTTCATTTATAACGTTACTTGTTTCTCTTTATTGGAAAAACATGGGAGTGAGAATGAAACAGGCATGTACCTTCCCAAGACAGAGGCAAGCAAATCGTGATGGGAGCTTGTGGCAGCTTCCATATCAGCAGAGGAAGGTTTTGGACCATGAGAATGTGATCCCAAGTATACGACGTACGACTGCAACATGAAATTGATTAAGGTAATTGATGAGCACGACAAGAATATAATACCACTACTAATAATCAATTACGAGCCAAATGATGCTTGCTTTACCTTTTTAATGGCATAGGCAGGTTGCTGCAGCTGTAAGAAGCTGCAGAGCAGAAATGACGAAAGAAGAAGACGAAACATAGTTGAGCCTCCCATTTTGCTTCACCCTCAATGTGTGAGAATGGCGACTCTAATCAGTCTTTATAGAAATCCGTTCTCACATGTGGCGGGAACTTTTCCTTCGTCTTTCTTTTGTCCTTTTTTTTTTTTTAAATATATGTATATAATAAACAAAATGGGCCTACCATAATTTTGATTCAATTGTTCCAATAATATTGTCGGCATATAGTACATCTATACGTAGTGAAAAAGTGGAGCTTGAATGTGAATTTCAGTCAAAATTGTTTAATTATTAACTGGCGTTGTTCATTTATTAGGATAGAATGACATTATTGGACCCTGTCTGAACCATTGTGAGCTACATTACGCTAAGTGAAAGTTTAGGATAACAATTCTCTCCTTGACAAAAACTTTTGAGACAAAATTGCCATTTAATTAACCCTTTCTTTTACTAATTACTTGTGCATTATTATTATTTTTATAGAAAAGGTTAGATGAGTTGAAGCTTCAACGCTTGCTCATTTAAGGTAGGTATTAGGTTTCAAAGAATATATATTTATAATAGTACTGATTCAAAACAGGGACGAGGGAAAGGAAAAGAGAGGAGAGAAGTAAGATATATATAGAGAGGGGATCAGAAAGATGATAGAGTAAGGTGTATAAATATGTAACCCAAGTTGGCAAAATAAATAAATAGGTAATCCAAGTACAAGGGGAGGCAAATTAATATGTAATTATAATTAAGATGTGTTAAAGGCCTATTTATAGCTTTAACCGTTACCCAAGCTTTAAAAGTAAATATTTTGAAAATTAAATGTAAACATTCCGGAAATCTAAAAGATAATAATAAATAAAAAATTACCATAATTAAAAAAAAATCCGAATTCATCAAATTAACCTTCAATTCTTTAAGATCTTTACAAAAAGTATTCAAATATTACTTTCGTCTTGCTTTTTCTGGTTTCATGATCAATGTTTGCAAACTCGGACCGGACCGGCCGGTTTAGGCCGGAAACCGATGAACCGGCCGCTTGTCTGGTCTGGTTCTCATCTAGACCGGAAAAATTTTAAACCGGCGTGAACCGTTCTGACTCAGCATGAACCGGGCATAAAGCGGAAAACCCGCTGTGTTGGGCGGCTTATCCCGGTGACTTGAAAAAATAAACCAGATGGAGAATATGGAACGAAGAAGAAGAAACAGAGAAATAAAAGAATGACCTCTGTCTGCCTCCCACTCTGCAAGTTTACCTTTTGCCCGTTGCAACTATAAGTCAGTTGACCTTGATCTATTTCCTTTCCTTTGAGTTTATCTAAAATAAAGGTGAGGAGGTGTGGACTGTGGAGGTATGAAAATGAAGAAGGGAAGAAGAGCATCTGAAACGAAAGAAGACGAGAGAAGAAACAAATGGAGAAAGAGGAAAGAGAGAAAGGGGAAGAAGAAAAGAAAATAACTGCAAAACGAAAAGCCTGGTGAGTATTCAAATTTCACAGAGTGAGTGACGTGATTTGATTAATGATTCAGACTTTGAAAAACGTGAGATGCTTTGGAAATAATAATAACGGAGAGAGCAAAATAAAATTTGAAATAAATTAAATTAATATTAAAAATATATTAATGGCTAACAATACGATTTATATTTCCCAGATATATGAGGCATCAACATAAAATATGAAACCACAATTTAAATTGGAAATAAATTTAGTGGAGTATTATTTATTATATATAATTAATTTATTTTACATATATTATTGATTGCACACAAATATTGTATATATTATTATAATTACAAAATAAGTCACATATTATTAATTTTATGTGTAAATATTATGTTTATTATTATTTGACATTTGCTTTTATATCTTCACTCTATTTTTATTTAAAATAATCAATATAAATCTGAAAATATGTTATTTTAATTAATACTAGTCTGATTTTGGATTGATCTTGATTTGACCCGTTAACTCTTGATTTACTGTTTCAACCAGTTTAGTAACCTGTCTGGTTTTCAGTATCTTGATTTTATTAAATACTTGTTATAATCCTTTGGTGATAATATTCACACAATAACTAGTATGAGTTGGATTCTTATGGATTGAACCAAAACAAATACTCCCTCCATTCCTTATTATACGAGACATTTGATGCTTATGGCATGTTCCTATATATAAGAGACACTTAAAAGTTATCTCTACTTTTTTGTGTTGATTCCTTATTTTACCCATATTTATTATCTCCAACTCACACTCTCTCTCCCTCCCACTTCTCTTTCTTTTAATAATTTAATTGTTCTCTCTCATACTTCTCTCCTTATTAATGAGAGTATTTTTTAAAAAAAATTATACTTTTTATACATTAATTATTCTTAACTAATTTTAACTATTTTTTTTATTAATTATTTATCTCTTATAATAAAGAACGGAGGGAGTATAATTAATTATTATTAGCATTCTAGGAAGGAGGAATTCTTGTATGCTCCGGGAGCACCACATCATTTGTGCTCTGACCAATAAAAACGTGCCACCTCATTAAATGTAATCTGAGATGTAAGCTTATCTGTCAGCCTTTATTTAATTTCACAACTTTGCTTTTAGAAACTCTCGCCCATTTTTTTTACTCGCTCCTCTCTCAGAATCCGTCATCTCTGGCTTCTGCTTTCATAAACTCATATTTCTCTATCTACCTCTCTAAGCAGGAAGCTCAGAAACAATGTCAGTAACAGTCAAGTCTCTCCGATGTTCCCAACAACTGGAAAGATGAGAGGATCTGCTTTTGAAAACCCAGAACCTTCTTTGCTGAAAGTAATTTGCACTGGGCAAGTATGAGTGAAGACGAAGAAACAGGGGAAGAAGATGAGGGCAAAATCGAAGATAAGAGGAGAAGCAAGCATTCAAAAAACAGAGCAAGGATTTTTAAATCTTCAAAATCAGGGCTGGGTTTAACTATTTCTGTCATTGCAGGTCGTCTTCTCGTGACAGAGAGAACAACAAGGAAGTAACGATGGGGAAAGGAGGGATTTGGTGGACAGAGTAGGCAGGTTTCTTGTGGGGCCGCATTTGTAAAATGGTTGAGGGCTTTGCAATAAAGGGAAGCTTAAAGGGGAGAGATTGAGTTGGTGGTGGATGATGAAGAAAATGAAGAAGATGATAGGCTAGAGAGAAGTAGAAGAAGACTTGTGTTTGAGGATACTGAGATTGATACAGATAAGAAGAATGAGGAGGAAGAAGAGACAAGGTGAGGATGAGCATATGTGCTTCTCTTTTGTTGATAAGGTGCAGATCTGATCCTGTGAAAATGGCATCCAAGAGAAGAAAAAGTTAACAAGGAGAGAGAGTATGTGAAAAATGATGGAGCCGGAGATGACGGACTGTGAGAGAGGAGAGAGTGAAAAAAATGGGCGGGGTTTCTAAAAAGAAAGTTGCTAAATCAAATAAGGGATGACAGATAAGCTTACATCTCAGATTAAATTTGGTGAGGTGGCATGTTTTTATTGCTCAGAGCACAAATGATGTGCTGCTCTGGGAGCATGCAAGAATTCCTCTCTAGGAAGTGGACTTTGTTTGCTTTTTCAAATGAACATGTCAGTGGTCATTTGGGGGGCGCTATAAAGTACTATGCTCCTTTATCAAAAGAAGAGCCAAAAGAAAATATTCTCCAAATAACCCATATAAAAATAAAACAACAAAAATGTTGGTTTTATACTTTGCACAAAGTCTTATATTAGTTGCCAAATTCATGATTTACAAACTAATGTGTATGTATATGATACCGAAGGACGTGATCTTTATACGCACGAAGAACTGAGGTAGATGTCGAGTGACCCATTTCATAAATATTTATGTTATCTCCATACAAATATTATACTCATTAATACCTTTCCAAATAATGGCAAAAGTGCACATTAGGTCTTGTCTTTTTTATTCTTATATCATTAGTCTCAAATGATACTTTTTTTATATCTATCATTGTATTTTAAAAATCAAACTCAATATGTTAGCATTTAAGAATATTTTCTCAATATTTAAAATTGTAATATCAGTATTTTTTTTGGTTAACTATATTAGAATTAAAGAACTGAAAAATATACTTTATAAAATTTAGGAATTAAAATAAAATCACCTCACTTAAAATTAAGGACTAAAGCTGTATTTTTACCGCAAAGTTAATTCCATTGGTTGTGTTTGTAATGTTAGAGCTGAGCGTTGTAATTTATGTTCCTACAACCATCTGTCCATTAGTATATAAGAATATTTAGATAGAAATCAAACTATAATTTTAAAAGTAATTTTACGATATATGAAATAAATATATAAAAAGAATTTTATTTCGATTTACGTAAAAATATTTTTTTAAAAGTGTTTTTAGAGAAAACCAAACATCCAAATAGTTTAATTAGCACGCCGCCCCCGAGGGGGAGCACCCTCTAAGTTCCAACAGATTATTGTCACAGTACATAGGCTTTCTATGATTATAAACAACGACAACGACAAATTGAGCTTACTACTTTTGTGTTTCTAGTTTTTGAAATCCCATTAACTTGTTTTTAAATTTGTACTAAATACAAATTTGGTTGAACTCCCAGCCTGGATTTATCCTTCTAGCTTAAAAAATCATATCAGCTCGTTGTTAAATTTGTATTAGTTACAAACTTAATTGAACTCATAAGTGAGTTGATCAATCTCAGTAAACTAACTAATTTTTTACCCAGTCGAATATGCCAAACACGTCCATTGGCTATGATTTAAAAAGAATAAACACTACAAAAAAACAGCTGATTAGCGACGGAATTAGCGACGGAAACAAATTCCGTCGCGAATTTGTGACGGAATTTGTTCCATCACAAATTAGTGACGGAATTTGCGATGGAAATTCCGTCGCTAAATTCCGTCACTAATCCGTATTTAGCGACGGAATCTAATTTTTTTGACGGATTAGCGATGAAATTTCTGTTCGTTGCTAAATTCTGTCGCTAATCCGTATTTAGCGACGGAATCTTTTTCTGTCAAATAATTCCGTCGTTAATTCCGTCGCTAATCCATCAAA